ATGAGCAGCATCATGTGGAACTAGCAGAAAGGATAGTCTTCTCAAAGAAAAGATAGCCATGGGAGGCAGGGGAAGCATAGGCCACATCAGACACAAGCCTCCAAGGGATGGGAAAGGCACAGGGCACAGCTGCTGACATCTAAAGCAGCCACAGCAGGTTCACCAGAGTTTGCATCCCAGAGCTCCTAGTCTGACTCGGCTTCACCCGGCTCCCTCCCCAAGCATGTGCACAGGCTCTCGTGCCAGGGAGCACTGTGAAAGGGACCACCAGAAATGCAAACAAGAAACTTCCCATTCAGCTTGCAGGCAGAATGAATCGAAGAAAACGTGCTTTTTCTTTCTTGAAAAAGTTATTAGCATTGCATTGTTTTACGGAGCATCTTGGAACATGTTTTTGTCAGGCCATTCTTTCAGTGCAGTGCTTAGCATAATGGAAATGACAGAAATGTAAAACAGGACTCAAACTCACACAGAATTAATTTTGGAAACTTCAATTTCCTCCTTTCCAAGGAACACATCCTGGTGACTCAGCAGTACACAGCAGATTTGCAGCCCTATGGGGAAGAGGAGTTTCCCCCTGAGAACCCAGTGATTTTCAACCTCAATAACACAAAGTGTATTGCACAAGGAGCCCCTCTGTCACCAGCAGGGCAGAGGTGCCATGAGGGAGAAAGGCATTTGGTGCCAAGAGACAGAGGATCCTGGGCTGCTGGAGAGGGCTGGATGGGTCCCAGCACTCTGGGCTGTTCCAAGCTGGCCCCTGCCTGCTGCCCTCCTTCCCACTGTAGCTCCAGGCCATGCCAGCACAAGGGCTCACAGCTGACCCAGCCCCTGCAAGCCCAGGCTGTGAGAGGCATTCAAGCAGCTAGACAGCATGGGAAGACCAGGAGGGAAAAGAGGGGGAGCAAGTGCCAGAAGCATATTAAACTTGTGCACATGCCAGGGCTCCAAACTGTTCCTTTCCCAGTCCAAGCTGTGGAGCTCTCCTGTGTCCGGCTCACAGGTCCCAGTTGCAATAAACAAAGCAGTTTATAAAGGGCTGCACTGAGCTAAAAGAGCCAGTAAAATTATGCCAGGGAATTCCAAGATCATTTCTATTTGGCTATTTCAAGGGCATTTGGACTTCCTATCCTTCTTCCTACCCTCCACAAGAGGAGGGGCAAGAGGCAAGGAGCTTGACATGCTTTAGGTAATTGGTTTCTTTTTCAACTACACTGAAAGTAAATAGGGAAAGCAGCAGCACTTCTCAGCAGACGCTTTTCACTCAAAGCGACGTAAAGCCAGGTCTCCAGTGACTGCACCCCACCCCCTGCCTGCTGAGGACAGACATCATCAGCACTGCCATGTGGGACCTCACACTCTGCTAAGTGCCATAATGGCAAACCCCACAGAGACAGACTGCAGGGGAAGCTTTTACTCTTTCATTGCCTTTCCTTCTGATCTCAAATCCCACTTCCAAATAACTATTTCTGACAATGGTGACCTAAATCTTCCAGCACTGCTTTTCTATGGGGCTCATGTGCTGTCTGGAGGGGACTGCACAAATAAATTGCCATTGCACAAGTTAAGCAATACAGATATCCAGGAACCCAGACCTCTGGGTGGCAGGATGCCATGAGCCTCACAGTCCTGGGGAGTCCAGGGACACCCCAAACTCCTGAACATGGTGGCCTCCATGGACACAACCCCCTGACCTGGGACACTGCAAAGCCAGATGCAGGCCAGCTCCCAGCAGGCCTATAGCAGAGGCTGTCTCTCCATCCAGTGCCTTCTTGTCTCTGCAGTTTTTGCTGTCCCTCAGCTAAGGCCAGCAGCTGCAGATGGAAGGGGAGACAGTGGGGTCAGAAAGGAGGGTGTGCTGGAGAAGCAGCAAGGGCCTCAGGGCCACCACAGCCCACACTAAGGAAAAACACCTGCAGTGCCTGCTGAAGGAGAGGGGACATAGGCACAGAGAGGAGGCAGAGGAGCAAAACCTCCGGGCAGCAAGGTGTTCTCACTTAGCTCTGCACTGTGCTGGTAGCAAAGCAGTTCATACAGGAGCTCAGATTTCACCACAACTAACAGTGAGAAACTGCTCAGAGAAGGAGAGGGGCAAAGATGCAGAAGCCTGTGTGCAAGGCACCTGGCTCTACAAAGCTCCTGCTCTGCAGTCACACTCTGGCAGGACCAAGCCAGCATTCAGGGGAAGGTGGCCAGCAGATAGAGAGCCAGTCACACATTTCTATTTAGGAGGCATGCAAGGTCCAGAGAAAAACCTGCCTGTGCTCCCAGAGGTACTTGGGGGAAGCAGCCATGCTGACAACTGAGGACAACTGAAAAAAATCAGACCTGATTTAGTTTGCAACTAGAAAAAAATCCCTGTGACTAGAAAATGAGCAAAGGGAATCAGCACAAGACTGCATAAACATGCAGGCTCTGCAAGCTGAAGCTCAGCAGGACACAGCCTCAGCTCCTTATAGGAGGGCTCAGCCCCCAGTTGTCCTAGTCCCCTGCTTCAGCTCCAGAGCTGCACAGAGCTTTAGAGGCCTCAGGACTCAGCTTTCCCCCAGCCAACTAGCCCCTAGCTTACAAACAAGGTGAGGAACAACAACTTCTAAAAATAGATTTGACCCACTAACACAAGATGCAAGAAAGAGGTAGATATGTACCTGCTACAAGAGGTGCCTACTCCCCTGCCCATACTGCAAGCCAAGAGCACAGCAAGTCAGCCCTCTTTCCAGGCTCTCCTTTCTTCTAGCATCACCTGCAACAAGGAAGGCTGAAAGGAGAAAAGAGAAGGCAGGGGAGTATTTATCAGGGAACACATTACTCCGAGCAAGCAACAGCTGGGATGCACAGGTGAGCAGTGGATGCAAAACAAGGGAGGAAACGAGGCAGCAGCTACAAATAGGAGTGTGAGAGCAATCCTTAGGAATAAGAGCTAGGAAGGGGATGTCGGTATATGCAGGCTTCAGTAAGGCAGATTGCTAAGTAACTTAGAGCTAGGGCTAAGAAGCTACAGGGATGTTGGCTATAAGGAGCGTTGAATAGTCTATGGGGTAGTCTAGTTCAGTTAGAAGAACTCTGACTAAGGTAGGAGGTTAAAGTGCTGAGAGCTTTGCAAAGCTGGTAGGAAGAGCCCTGCTTCTGCTCAGATCTCAGAGTGCAAAAAAACCCTGTGTAGAAGGGAAGAAGCAGTTTCCTTGAGGAACTGAGCACTGGGGTACACACAGATTTTTAGGAAATGGGCTCTGATTCTGCTTTACAGCTGGCAAATGCTGTAAACTTTCAGCAGGACTTTTGTTGTCATAGGAACCCAGAGATGTGGAGGTGCTGAGGTTGGGCTGTGTGAGTGATGCTGTCTAAACTGCCAGATCTTCTGTTCCCAGCTAGCGGAGATGTGTTGTTCTGGGTCAGCTACATCTGCATCCTGACCAATGCCTGACTGTAGCTGCCTTGGTAGCAGGGAGAGATGCAGTGTTCAGTCCTTTGTCATGTTAGCCCCTTGCCCCTCTGCAGGGACTATCAATAGCCCAGTGTGACTGCAGGTAGGTTGGATTTCACTGATGAAACAAGGGAGAGTGACAAAACACCTGCTCCTGGAAGTAGATGTAATATCAGAGCAGGTGATGTTGCTAGAGCCCAGGGAACATTCAAATATGAAATCCCTGTGCTTGTCCATAGACTAAGCACAGTGAAAGGAACAGATGCACATGGGCAGGGTGGGCCTGTATCTTCAGCAGAGAAGTATCTCCCTGCTTCCCTTCTGCAGTCAGCAGAGGATTTTCCCAGAGCTGCCACTCACTGGCTGCTGTGTGCCCTGCTGCACAGTTCTCTCCTAGAGCAAGACTAACAGCAGGAAAAGCAGTGAGTTGCCCTGTCAAAGGTCCTCAGCTGCATTTCAGATGACTGTGGCACTGAGAACTCAATTATTGACAGCTTTCCCTCTGATCAGACTTCATGCCAAGAAACACAAAGGTTTTACCTCATCTGGTCTACCTGGTTTCAGGTAGACGCAAAGTAGAGACTTCTACTTATTGCATTGTAAAGCTCTTGGTCTAGTAGCTGTCCTTGCACCACTGTTAATGCATCGTTGCTGATGCCACGAAACGTAGCACCGCGTCGCCTGTTCTGGGGACCTGCACGGAGCAGCGGTGCTAGTGCTGAGGGAGGTCAGGCTGGCTCACGCTGCATCCACGCTGCTAACCAGGGACCTTGGAGTAAACCAACCTGCCAGCTGGCCTTGGCCCAGAAAAGAGATCAAGAGCGAATTAGGACATATTCAGCAGGCACAGCTGGGGAGCAGCGCCATGGAGCGGTGCGCAGGGGGTGTACCGTGCGGGCAGAGCAGCGCTGGCCTCGCCCG